AGCTTGTAATACGCTCGGCAAAGACGAGACGTGAATTGGCGAAGCCTGTGTGTTTGTATAGTTTGCCATTTAAGCAAACACACGCTGTTATATGTACATGCATACATAAGTAATACATGTAAATCGATCATCGATAAATTTAGAGGAGGTTTATAGCTCTGTGCCGTGAGCTAATTTGCTCGCGAATGCGATGAGCGTAGATGGGTTTCAACTTGTAAGACGAACATTTTAAGCAGCTAAATACCGCATAATCATAACACTTATGATTTGCATCAAGGTTTAGGCTGCTCAAAAATAGGAATAATGCATATTCCACTGCGCAGCTTGCCGCATTTATAGGCGCATGATAAATTGAATATCTACGTAGGCACAAAATGTATAACGGACCCATACCATACATCTGCAAATATACAGGCACAGTACGCAGATGATGACCGAATAATGGCGTCACTTAATTACGACAACAGGTCTTGGGGGAATCTGCTTGACATTTGACTGACGCGACCACGCGATGCGATGCGCATGATTCGCACACGCAAATCTCCGATGACTGTCGCAGCCAGCACGTGCATGTGTGCGTATGTGTTATTGTGTGCTATATACACACAGACACACACACTCTCTCTCTCACTTTCTGTATGTATATATCTGGGCTGCATATAACAGTTCTGGAGATCACATTTTTCATATTCTGTATGCTGAAATGTTGTAACAGTTGATTGAAGGTGTGAATTTGGTCGAATGAATTTTCGCAACTATTTTGCCGGCGACGCATGAAAGCCGCACTCGTTGAATTATGAACAAACTTTTGGTAGAAAGGATTATCTATACTGTATGACAGTGCAGATGAGATTTTCTCTCCACGTTTTCAAATTTATAAGCAGCTTTCCGACGCAGATCTTTCCTTTGTTTATTTTTATATATAAGAATACCACAAAACTAGCAGCAAGACTTGTGATTTCTCGTCTTAATGCAGCTTATAGTTTGGAGGATTTCACGCACGAAAAATAATTTTTTTTTCAAACGTATCAAAAAAATATTGCCACAAGAATAATAAGTCAAACGAAAAATGAGATATCTATAGACTTAGACGGTAATTGCAATATCTCGCTGATTAAACAGTGCGAATGTACCTGTGCGCTTACGCCAACCATAAATAAGGTCGTAAACAAAGCAAACTCGTTTTAATTCTGGAATTGACCATCAATCGTGCAAGAAGCCATACTGCTTGGACCAGGAATCAATGGCTCTCTGGCTAATCCTCACGCCGTTGCGAGCAAGATTCACGCGTATCTTTTGCCCTCTCCCTTTTGTTCCCGTTGTTGTGCCACGCGTGAAAATTAACGATCCCCGCCGCTTACGCGTTTAAAAATAATTGGATAAAAACGTTCGTCGTGCCAAAGTAGCTGTGGCTATTGCATATCTTTCGGCTTCTACTTTGGCTTTGTATCAAAGTACATACGTGATTTTCAAAAGCGCTGTACAACATTAATACTATATCAGCGAATTGTGGCGTACAGACTTAAGCTTTTATGCACTAGAGCTTTCAAGCTTTGAATAATAGATCTATGACTGCAAAGGAAAAATGTCGTGCCAACGAAGTATACCAAAGCAACAACAAAAATAATGGAGTTGAAGGGTAAAAAACAATAAGGGTGTCTACTCGAAAGTTTTAAAAGTAAATTACATAACGATTCTGTCTTGTGGATCACTTATATAATGATTCTAATACTTTTTCATATTTATATATTGAAAAGAAACATAAATAATGTTTGGAAAGGTGGAATATTTTGCATGGTTTACCGTAAACACAAAGATTTGGTGCAACAATGGGGCCTTCATTGCTCGTACGCACAGTTTTCAGTTATTTTAAATATTTCTCCGGATGTAAGATGCATGTAAAATTTCGTGAAAATTTTGATGCTAGGGACGTAAAAAATGTATCTCGCGAATATCTTATACACCGATGAGAATACACCGACGAATTTCAATAGACGTTTTTATGAAACAAAAAAAACAGCATCAACAAGCAAAAGCCAATTTTACGAATCTTCAATCAAGTCTTTCAATAAAGTTTGAAGCTACTTCGAAAAGTTAAAGATCGTACAACGATGATGCGCGTGGCAAGACTTTTTTATTGCTCACGAGCAACTTTGCTTCTCTTTGTTCTCATCGTCACCAACAAGCATGTAGACGGTCGGTGCAGCGGTCTAGATAGTAAGAAAAGCTCGAAACTCAACGCGTCGAATCAAAGAAAAATGAAAGAGAGAGAAAGAGAGAGACGAGATTTCTATCCAACATCTTGCCACGCGCAACCAAGTTTTCGTGGGATTGGAAAAGCATTTGCATAAAGAAAGAGAGAGAGAAAAGAAAAGTTGAGCAACTACTACTGACACGATTATCGATTCTATGCGCGACGGATGGAATCGATATTTGACACGAGTAAGAAGAGAGAAAACTTTACTCTCCTTATATATACTTGACACGCGTGACTTTTACCGGTGAACATTTGAAAATTCCACTTCTATTATACGTAAAGTATGGAAAATGTAGCTAATGATTTTTCCCCTCAAATTAGGAGTAAAAAAATAAAACACAGACAGAGATAGAAAGAGTGAAATTATAGAAAAAGAGATAGCGCAGAAACTAATATCACGATAGAACAGAGAATTGAGTTTTTCGAGTAAAAGGGTTCTTGCCTCGGGATGATTTCTTTTTCTTTTTTTGCCTTCTACTTTCGTTTGTATATTTTCAACAAGGCCAGCCGAACATATACTTTTTCAATATCACGTAGGTGGTTCGGCACTTTGTCCGCATGCGCATCCACGCAACCGTAAACAAATGTTTTGTGAGACGGCGTATAGAGAGACTACGAATGACCCGTGAATGTCGAATAGAAAGTTTGCAAACTCTGAAAAAGCCATGGTTTTTCCTATTCATGCCTATTTTTAAGGCTCAAAAAGAAGTTTCCTGGAAAAACGTATACACAAGTGTAGATCAAGTATCATTATGATCGGAGTTAGAAGTAAAATCTCTTCCGACTAAAATCTCTTTACCTTTAGCCGAGAGAGATGGGGCTATGCATCTAAGTGGTAGGCGCCGGGTGGGTAGGGTATAGGGGGTTTACGGATCGTGTGACGAAATTGGATGAGTAAAGTAGTGGGAGTGAGAACGCGGCAGTAAGAGAGAGAGAATATCAGTAGAGGTAGGAGCGAAAAAGGAGTATATATCCCGGCCGTATCACGATGCCAAAAGGGCATCGGTGAAACTTGAGAGAGTGATATGATACAGCAGCGCCTGCACTTGACTCGAAATATTAAATGTAATTTCAGCGGGGCCTTTCAAGACATGATGACGACGACGATCCGTTATATATATATAACGTATTCCCTCAGAAGTGACTCCTTAAGGGATCCGCTTGCAGTTTCATGAAATATGTAAACGCGTCGGAGCATCGTATAGAAACTTTCATTGGATAAGAAAAGTGCATTAAATATGCGCACACGCACTTACGACTGTATGCATGAAAGTATGGATGTTTTTTTTTAATGAGACATTCCATTCTCGCGTGAAGAGAGTTTTTTGCGTATTTAGTATTCCCATGGTTTTCGCACGATTCGCTTCGAATTGAGAGTCATATGTAGTAGCATGTAATATGTAAGTAAATTGCATTGTAAAAATTGTTAACCCACCATAGCTCAAAATTCCCCGTAAAACTTTGATGTTTTTACATCAAATAGCTCCGAATTAGTGTGTAGCATCTTTTTTACTATCAAACTTCAATACCCATTAGGTTAAATAATAACCACAAGGAAAATGCTACATAATATGCAGGGCACTATGGCAACAACTTTTACCCTTGAGAGCTCTGTTAGAAAAAGCCGGCCCAGCTGCAGCTTCAAAAAAGAAAAATACACGAACCGCAGACTTTTTTGCAAATGGTTTTTTATGTATAAGCTCGATGTAAGACGAGTGCTGAATGTCTGACTGGTTTCTTTTTTTTCTTTTGCCTACACACTAGTACGTAGAAAAATTTTTAAAAGGGCAAAAAACAGAAGATATGGAAGAAATAGAATAAATTAAAGCGAAAAAAATATTTGTGCGTGTGTACGTGCAGAAAATAAATAATAAGCATGTTCGTAGTAAGCAGCAACGGCCGGAGAAGGGCAAACATTTTATTTCAGCAAAATAGAAATTTTCAAAAATGCAGCGAAGGACGCTATTCCGAAAAAGAAGAATATGATTTTTCCTACGTTCATTCATTCTTTCGCAGGAGCTTGCGCTCGAGGTGGCTTATATTACACCATTGGTGTGGCAGACAGCGGTGCGGCGGCGCTGCGCGCAAGCTCAGGACGCAGCGCCGAAAAACAAAGAGGTAACGCGTGCGCGCGCCCCTTTTTGCAGTCTTCTCTCTGCTGGCTGCCGTGTGCGCCGCGCTGTGCACCGCCGTGGCCCCTATCCCGACTCTCTGACACCCGCACGAACGCCAGTAGCGCCTAGCGCTTTCGCGTAGCATGAGCAGAGACCACCCGCATTATCCATTTGTTGGCAGTGCGTCGGCGTTCGACTCGCTTTCTCGCCTCTGTCGCTCGATCAACATGTCGCCTAAATGTAAACAAGCGAGCGATGGCTAAAAAGAATTATTTTCTTTTCAAAATTTCCCCCATGTGCCAACTGCTTTCCCTTGAAATGCACAGCCGTACGTGATAAGTCTTTGACATTCAATTTCCCGCACTGCGTAATCGGGGAAACCAAGGTAATAACCACGAACGCGTCGTGCATAACTGTCAATTGAAATTAAATAATAAGAAGCTACTGTCGCGGCTCAGTGGCTGGTAACAGCGGTTGAACGTGTCACAGAGGCACCGGCACGTTTTGCGCCGACCACTTACAAGTGCATCGTAGCTAAGTGAAAGCCTGCAAAAATACTACACGACAAACAACAATACAGTTTTGTATATCAGTGCTAAGAGTGTCCGTGCGCCGATCAATTTAATAGTCGGCTTTTCAACAGTGCAAGTGCTTTGGTTATTCACTAATAATTTTGACAGATAAAAAAGCTTACCGATATGTCGCTGTTACTCTTTTTGGCCATCAGTCTTATAGATGCGAGTTTGGCCTTCAATTTCAAAGGTTTGTCATCTCATTTTGATGGAAGCTCGCAATTCATATGGATGTTTTTTCATAAAAATATTAATTCCACACTATCGTGATGCAAAATTGTGAAAGAGTTTTCATGCTTATCGCACGTATTATTTTGTCCGTACTTGAAAAAATAGCGAAACTGCCAAGCATAAGCATTCGAGAAGGAATCGCGTCATTGATTAATTATGGATAATTCGACTCCAATATCTCATTGTCGACGCAAGCACATGATGAGTATTACATCGTCGCTTTTCTCGTCTTACCGTACCTACACAAGAGTGTGCCTCGAGGGCAATCTTACCCTTACACACGAGGATTCACCAGCCCCTATTCATTTACACGCTCGATAAATTTGTGCGTGTGAGTATAAAAGCTCTTCGAGTGGCGGCGCGTAATAGGATCGTGAAGGTTTGGTAGCCTCATTATATGAAAATCAATCCCCCAACGCCTCGAATTTGTGCGCGTATTTACCTGATCATTGGGACGTTATAATGGCATTGATGAGCCGCCAGCTACGTACACGTAGTAGCTTTTATTGGATTATAGTTCAAGTTTTCACGGATTCAAAGTCAAAATTGCGGCCCTTAAGGAAAATATTGCGATTCGTAATTAATAAACCATCGTATATTATTGGGCTCGCTTTGGAGAGGCTTTCATGTACGCGTCGCGTCGTTGATGAAATTTCATTCTCTGCATTCATTGCCCTGTCACAGAGGTAGCAGGGTATCCAAAAGCAACTCCCAAACATACGCTAATATCGTAAGCAATGCTAAAACGATTGAATTACAACAACAAAACGAAACCGCAATAAATGTACGCCAAAGCGAAGGGCGAAATAACACCAGCCGCGCACCAATTAACGTTTAATTGCATTTATATGAAATGCGGGATCACACGGACCACTGTGATCTAAAATGACAATCAGACTCTTAGCAGCAATTTGTAATGATTGTATCTTTCATATCGAAGCTTAAAATCACACTCACGAACTATTTTCAATTTCTTTTGAGGCATCCACTTTTTTTCCGTTGACAAAAATCAATTATACGGTCTTATACATAAGCACACTCGCACGCGTGCAAGCAGCGCACAATTAAAACTTGATCGACTCGTCGTAAATTCCTCTTTTATTCGGAAGCCAAAAGTTTTCCCGGGCTTGTCAATATATAAGGGCATGTTTTTGCGTGCTACACGTTGAATGAAAACAAACATAGGCAGGTTATACACGAAGCTCCAATAAAAGTCTTTTCACGCGCGGTTCTGTGAAAAAAGTGAGGTAAAAATATGAACAGAGTGAATGAGAGAGAGAGAGAGAGCCGCGCGCCTACAACCCGTCGCGTTCACCTATACGAAGCACGTAAACGCGTGGCACACAGTTCAAGCGGCGGAGAAGAGTTTTTCAAAGTTTCACGAGCCTCGAAGGAAGAGAAAGATCGGTTTTGTAAGGAAACACGTTATTTCTAGATAATTGAAGGCTCGTCGTTGCAGTGATCGTGCGCGCATGCCGCATGTGTATATAGCAGCCGAAGATTTTGATACGTTTAAGGATAACTCTACGCGATCATAGCTATGAATAAAACTACCCGTCAACTCGTTTTTTTTTCCTTCTTTTTATACAACATCTCACGCGAGCTATGTACTCGATATACTTGAGATTTTTGGTAAGCGATTTCCCATAAATCCTCTCATCCCTGCTATAGGACGTTTTTTCGATACTGCCTCCTTTGCATGTATATCGTAGAAAGTGCATTACTTAATATACTTATATAGATTTATTTTTCCGACCCAGCGTATATATAAATGAAACCAATATCGATAGCTATCTCTCGCATTCGATGTATATTTATGAAAATTGTATTGATAGAAAATGAGAGAGAGGAGAACAGATAGAGAAATAAAAGCAAGGAAAGTTAAAGAACATCGCAATCGTTGCAATTTAGATGATAAAAGTTCTATAAGGAGTTGTTAAAATTGAAGATATATTTATTCATTAATTTACAGGAAGCACATTAAATCGGCAGAAATTTTTTGGTGCAAATGATCATAAAACGTTAGCTTGAGAAACTATAGTATTGCACGTTAGTTTGAAACTTTATTAATGAACTTCTTTATTTAATGGAATACATCGATATATAGGGGCGCGTTGCTACTTTGTAAAACTATCAATTGCACGTTTTTCACGCTTCTTTCGTAGCGAGGGGGAATAGGCACGATAAATTTCTCGTCAGCGTCGCGTCCGACAAAAATGAAAATTTCATAAGGTTTGAAAGTATGTATTATACGCGCGCGTACTCACATTCGTGTCTGCCGCATGTATACCTATATACGTATATATCAAATGTATGATATGGATGAGAAAGTTTTTCCAGCGCTCACACACACACGCGCGCCCCGACGGTGAGTGAAAATCACGGGCCATCCACATGGCGCGTTCGCGAGCAAGTTTCGCAACAGCTTTAAATCATTCGCGCAAAATTTCTACCCCGTACGTGCTGCTCCGATTGCGCGCGCGAGTGAGAGCTTCTTCTCCATATTTTTTTTTCAACTTTACTACTCTGGCCGTATTAAACATTTTTAGCTTCTTTTGCCAGTTCTCTCTTATTCGTGCCTACCTATACTCGCGAGGGTGTGCGGTGCTCGAGACAAGATTTTTTTTAAATCGATTCATATCCGAGTGCTCGCTATATAATTTAATTTTTGTGGTCGAGTCTTTAATATTTGATCCCGATTGCAATCGAGAGTCGTTACGTACTTTCTGGCTAAGTGGAAAACTCTACTGCCGAGAATCAAGAGTCACTGACACCATTTTCAATAATCAATTCGCTAGAAGCCTCTTTGTAATTAATGATCGCTTTGTAATTCGGGAAATTATCCAACATTTACAAGTTCCCGGGCACACTTTCAAGGACACGAAGCGAAAGTTCATCTCTTAACACTTGAGCTGTTTTCTTTCGGGTCGTATACTTGTGAAATTCAACTATACTACAATACGCTCATTCACAAAAATATAAACCATTTTACGTCAACCACAATGCAACCAAACGTGTAATATCAACAATAAATACGTACTTTAATAAAGTTAATATATCAACAAGCCTATTTTTGGATAATAAATAGTATTCAAAAGTATATGTATTGAAGTTTATTGCAAACACGTGTGAAATTTCCAAATAGAAATAGTTTTTTAATTATTATTAAAAAATGATCTTACGAGTAAGCATGAAATTCATCTCAATAAAAATTGAGCTTTGAACTTGTCCACATGAAAGTGTGAAACCAAAAAGTTTCTAATTTTTAGCATTTCTCTATATTAGTTCATAAAAAGTACGTATATAGTTAGTAGACCACTTTCAGGTTGCGCTGTAGTTGACGTGATACAGACCGTATAAACTCACGCACTGGCAATAGTAGAGAAGATCGTTAAAGTCTGCAGCGAAAGAGCGGGAGTGAGTGAGCTGGTATATAGTAACAACATCGTTAGTCGTTTTACTGTGTAAAGAAAGGAGAAGGTAGAAGTGTTAAAAAGGGCAAGTCAAATGAAAAAGTGCAGAGCCACTATATGAACGAGCGCCTGGACGCGGATGCGATGAATACGACTGTGCGACGAAGAGCTTGGCAAGGGCCGCGCGCGCGCCCAGCAAATCCCTTTTTTGCACCTGAATGCACGGCAATCGCGCCCACTACTACCGAGCGCATGTTTCTGTATTTGTATACACATATTGCGATATTGCATTTGTCTCTTTATATACCCGTGCCGAGCGTTCTGCTTTTTCTTCACTTTTATTTATTTTCATTTATTTTTCTTTCCCTTTTCTTTTTGATCAAAGCGTCAAAAGGTTGGAGGAGCGCGTCGGGACAAGACGAGTTACTTTATTGCGGACACCTGAAGATGTGTATATTATCGCTCGTAGAAGGCGCGTGTGTAGAGATGCCACACTGTAACGCGCGCGAAAAAGACTCCCTGTCTTTCTGCCTTGCGCTCACTCGACACGCCTGTGTACGTGTGTAATTTTTCAAATTGACCTTTTTTCGGAATATTTTCGAGTACATGCCGTTGCGTGCACCATAGTGGAAATAAAATGTACGAGCTCAAAAGCAACGTACAAATAATAAAGGTAAAAGCTCGCAACTCAACTTTCACGTGTGCGTACGTACGTGGATGCTTGTACCTGGCGCATTATATGCGCCGAAAAACATATTTTTTGTTTAAATGCATAAGTTTAATTTATTTTCTTTTCTTTCTCTTGCACTCTAAGCTATAAATAAAGGTAACGCTTAATTTTTTACGAGTGACCGTGAAAAGAGTTTATCGTTTATTTTCAAGTTATGCTATGCATTTAACATAAAGCTCGAGCCCATCACAGTGATTAATCCAATACTTTTTTTCACAGTTAATCCATGACTTTATCTTATTGTTATAAATTGAAATACTCATGAAAAAACATTTGTTTAATGGATAAAACCATAATACTTGCATGTGTTTTTTATTAAACGTCAACTTTTTGCTTCTGCGCGTGACGTTTGTGAGCATGTGTCGTGTGTGAATCTACGACGTGAGCCTCAAAATGTGTAGTTTGCTGGAACCAAGAATAGAACCTTGCATTAATTTTGTCCTACTCAAGTCAACTATTTGAGGATAAAATAGACAAAAATGATATAATAAATTTTAAAATTCATGGATATAGTTATTTTGTAAAAAATGTGTTAAAAAATATGGTCATTAGACTCAAAATCAACATGAAATCAATGTGAATTTGAACTGCTGTACAGAGAACACCTTTTTGATGTATCTATATGCAATTGATTCTTACACCCCGAACCTAATTCGTCGGTTTTCGACTATTGATACTCCATCTTGTACAATCATACCGATCATTGTCTCTTTTTTCATGCCATCGATTAAGAAATAAAAGTCTAAAAAATTCAGATGATACAGGCAAAAATTTTACGCTGATTTCTTGCATGAATGGACGAATTATGAAAGCACA